TCATTTTTTTACTCTATGATTTTTTTAAAAATCCGTTCATCAATTAATTTAAAAATTAAAGGAAGAAATAATGTGTTAATAATAATCGTATCATTCATAATTATATTGTTATTTCGAATTTTTTTAGAAGGAAAAGAGGGGGAAGAAGGGGAAGAAGGGGGAAAAGAGGGGAAAAGGGAGGGGAAAAATAATAATTTCCATCGTTTTCCCAAATGAAAATGTATTATTATTATAGTTAGAGAGAGAGGAAAAAAGAAAAAAAAAAAAGTTTTGGGTTTTTTTTTTATTTATTTTAGTTCCCTCAAGCATTTTTTTTTTTTTTTTTTTTTTTGATAAAAATGAATTGAAAATGAATTGAAAATGAAATTTTTTAACGCTTCGATCGCAATGCCAGGTAATTTAAAAAAAAAAAAAACTATACAGAATATAAATCTATATACAGAAGTAGAAAAAGATAAAAATGAAGATTCAAAGAAAAAAAATTGGTAAAATATTTATGAATTCATTTTTTTTTTATATATAAAAAAAAAAATCATTTTTTTTTTTTCCCGTGCGTGGGTGTGCGTGCGTGCCCCCGGGGGCGTATTTGGTTTACCCTTTTTTTTATTTTCCCTCTTTTTCATTTTCATTTCCCCCCCCCCCTCCCCCCCCTCTCCCCCCTCTTTTTCTTTTTTTTTAATTTTTGAATTGAAGGATTCGGTTAAACCGCGAAGTTGAATTTATATATGTAAAAAATATAAAAAAAACATTTACGCGATTTAAAGTTAAAAAAATTTTTTCCGTGGGATTATACGCACGTGCGTACGTGCGTGTGTGTATTTTGCGTATACGTACAACGCGCGTAAAAATTTTCTTAAACGAATTAAAAATGACAGAAATCGAGTGAGTGAGCGAGTGTTAATGACACGAAAACAAAAACTCGACAACTTTTTTTTTTTTTTTTTTTTTCTACTGCCACGTTTTTTTAAGGTAACGCTTTAAAATTTTTTTTAAAACCGATATGAATAAGAGAAATATGAAGGAAAAAACCGAGGTGGGAAAATATTATTTAATTTAAAATAAATAATGTCGGAGGAAAAAAAAAACCGTTAAAAAAATTTTTTTACTTTTCTTTTTTTTTTCTGTTAAACTAATAAAATGAAATTTTTAAAAAAGAAAATTGGAATATTATTATTATTATTATTATTTTAATTTTTTTGCGACATTTTTTTTTAAAGAAAACGACGACGACGACGACGACGAAAAGAAAATTCTTTTTTTTCTCATTCGTTTCCTTATCAAAATATATAATTATGTCGAAACTAAATTTAAAATAATAATAATAATAATAATAAACTTCAAATAATAATAATTATTATTATTAAAATGACGTCAAAAATGAGTTAATTAATTAATTAATTAAGTAATTAATAATTTTTCCAACGATTTTTCAAACGTCATATCGTATATTGTTTTTAATATAATTTACGGTGGGAAATTTTTTTTTTTTTTTTAAAGTGGCGACAAAATTCTCTGAAATATTTTTTTTTCTCATTGTAATTATTGTTTACGTGTTAATTATTTTTCGAATGACTCAATGAAAAAATTTTTCTTTTTGTTGTTGTTGATAAAATAAATTTAACGAACCGTTAATATTTTCGCATTATTATTATTATTATTATTATTTATAATAAGAAATATTTTGTGCGTACACGCGCGACATTTTTAAAATGAAAGAAAAAAAAAATGATCGTTTATTATTATTATTATTATTATTTGAAATTTAGAAACCGGACAAAAGAATGAAAGAAATAAAAAAAAAGGAAAAAAAAGAAAAAAAAGGAAAAATGGCGGAGAGAGGAGGAAGAGAGAGAGAGAGGGAGGAAGATGGGGAGGAGGGAAGGAGGAGGAAAAAACTTGTTGAATTCGATTCTTATCCTTCCTATTATTATTATTATTATTATTACGTTTTCTTTTCATCGCGTGATGTAATGGAAAATTTCATATTTTCTTTTAGATAATAATAATAATGGTTTTCGTTTACGTTTTGTATTGACGCCATTTAAAAATGGTCGGAAAAACCGTATAAGTTACGACAGAAACGATTTAATTTATGGTTGTTAAATATATTTGAAAAAAATAAACAAAGTGTTAACGATTAAATAAAAACAAAAACGTTGTTAACTTAAAAAAGAGAGAGAAAATGTCACTCTAAAACACAAGAAACCAATTCGAAAACGACAAAAACTTTTTAGGTAGAAAAAAAAAAAATAGTGACGTCATACGGGAAAAGTTTTTTTATCAAATGTTCTGCTGCACTTGACGTCACAATTTTTTTTTTTTTTTTTGCGACAAAATTTTTTTTTATTTTTTTTTTTACGTCGTTAAATTTTTTTAACTACACTTTTTCCCCATTTCATTCGTCGTTAAAAAAAATATAATAAAAAAGAAAAAAGGAATTTTAGTCGTGACGTCATTTCCGACATTTCGAGTTTTTTCGATAAATCGATATAAAATCGGTCGAGTTATATAATATAATACGATCGGTAATACGATCGGTAATTTTTCGAGTTTTTACGAGTCCGTAAGAAATTTTATTATTATTATTATTATTATTATTATTATTATTATTATTATTTAAAAGTAAATGAGGATTTTTTTATATTTGTCTCAGGAATATTCTTCATACTTCCCTGTGTCGATAATTATGCAAAAGTCGATCTTCGATCGAGTGTTTTCGATATTCGACCACAAGAGGCAAGTTTTTTTTAATAAAAATTGTTATAAATAAGAGCATGAATTGGGTGTGTTAGAAGGTTTCCATTTCCTCCTGAAAATTTGCTTGCTTTCAGGATTTATAAACATTTTATTTATTTATTTATTTAGTTACATAAAAAAACCGGAAGTGAATTTTAACGGTTTTTCATTCGATTCGGAATAATTTAAAAAAAAAAACAAAAATTTTTTTTGCATGTTTTTTTTTTTTTGAAAAGTTTGTGGGTGTGTGCGTGCGTTTCGAGTTTTTGTTTGTTTGTTGTTTGTTGTCTGTTTTTTTTCCTTTTCGTTAAATTTAATGGGTACCGTTTGTTCTTTTTTTTTTTTTTTTTTGTTAAAAATGGAAAAGGAAAAAAAAACAAAATCCCAAAATCGTAATTAAAAATTAAGGGTTTTCCGAAATTAGTAAGTAAAAAGGTTGTGTAATTAATTTGGAAAACAAAAAAAAAAATTAGAAAAGGGAAAACAAATGAAAAAGGTTTCAAAAAGGAAAAGGTTTAGGTCAAAGGGTAAATTTTTAAAAAAATGATCACTCGTTTAATATCCGAGCGGGAAAAAATCACAAAAAAAAGAAAAAAAAAATTTTTTTTACTTTATATAAACAAACGCGCTTACTCCTCCTCCTCCTCCTCCCCGCCCCGCACCCTCCCCACACCTCCACCCCCCTCGAAAAAAAAGGCATTAAAAAAAAAAAAAACATTATTTTATTTAAAATCAAATACGAAAACCGAAACGTACAAAAAGAATTGTTGATGCGGTATAAACTTCCGGTTTATCTCTTTCTTTTTCCGGTTTCGAAAAAAAAAAAAAAACCTACGCTTACAAATTATTTAAACGGTTTTCACATTTTTTTTTTTTTTTTTTTAATATCAGGTTAAAATGAAAATTTAAAATAAAAATGGCGGATTCAACCGATGTGAATTTTTTCTTTCCTTTTAATTTTTGTAAAATTTTAATTAACGAAAAAAAAAAAAAAAAAGTGAACCGCGTTTTAAATATTTTAAAAATAATAAGGGGATAGGGAGAGAGGGAGGGAGGGGGAAACACAAAACACATTTAAATACAAACAAAAAAACGCGTTTTCCCTCCCCTTCTCCTCACTCCCCGTACTCCACCCCCTCTACTTTTTTTTTTCACTTCCCGCCATTTTCTTTTCACCAACGGAAAAGTCGTTGTTTGTACGACAGACAACGACTTTTAATAAAATATATAAATAAGTAAAAAAAAAAAAATCTTTTTCCCACCTCCCCAGAGGCCTTTTTAAAAGAGTCAAATCGGATAATTTAATTCTCCTGCCACGTTAAAATATAAAGATTAAATAAATTGATGCATAAAATATAAAAATAAATAAAATAAAATTTCAGGGATTATTTTTATTCTTCCTTGTTTGGACATTTGCAATCGGGTCGATACGAGAATTCTTACCTATGACGTACCCCCTCAAGAGGTAAGAGAGAGAGAGAGAGAAAAAAAAATACGCACACTCACGTTTACGCACTTGTTTCCTCCCACCCCCCACCCTCACTCACTCACTAATCCGACAGAAAAAAAAGAAAAATTCTTTCTCGCTTTCCACGTTTCGTGTTTAATCATTTTTTAATGCTTTCGAAATTTCTCCCCCGCCATCCCCCATCGTTTCGTCGATAAGTAAATTAAAAAAAAAAAAAAAAAAAATCGTCATAAATTTAAAGAAGGCGGTGTAATTTTTTTTTTTTTGCGATCGCCATATTTGATTTTTTTATATAAACGTTCGCGACAAATGAATTTTTTTCTTTTGTCGATTATTCGTATTAAAAAAAAAAAAAAAAAACCATTTTAGAATTTTTAATCGCCTTTTATCGAGTTTCCTTTCTCCCCATCTTTCCCCCCTTTCCCCTCTCCCCCCTACTCTATGATCCCCGAATAAAAAAAATAAAAAAATTTTTTTCTACGAGTGAGTTAATTCCAACGTTTTAATGTTTTTTTTTTTTTTAACCGGATCGAATTGATTTTTTTTTTTCGAAGGAAAAGAATGATAAGAGAGAAAGAAAGAGAGAGATAGAGAGAGAGAGAGAGAGGGTAGAGAGGGAGGAAGGGAGAGAGAGAGAGGGAGAGAGAGATAGGGAGTAGGTAGTAAACGGAGGAGAACAAAAAAAAAAAATTTTAAAGACGAGGTCGAGAAGTTTCGATTGATTGTTTTGAATTTTTCATCATCACGACCACGATTATTATTATCATCATCATCATCATCATCATCGTCGTCATCATCATCATCATCATCATCATCGTCGTCATCATCATCATCATCATCATCATCATCATCATTATCGTCATTTCATCTGTCGACGACCGGATAAATTTAATTTTTTTTTTTTTCTCATAAAAATCAGTCAATTTAATAATGAAACCTCTCTCCTTTTTCATCCCGTTTTTATTAATTTTTTCTATCCCTTACCCCTCCTCTCTCCCTCCCTCCCTCTCTCTCTCTTATCTCTCTCTCTTTCTCTTTAAAAAAAAAAAAAAATTCGTTTTGTTTCAAGTAATCAATTACCAACCTTTTAGAAAAAAAAAAAAAAAAAAAAAACCTTTTCATCTTTTTTTTCATCATCATCATCATTATTTTTTTTCCCCCCTCTCCCGTTTCAAAATTATTATTATTATTATTATTTTTGTTCGAACGCACACACACCCACGCACGCACGCACGCACTCATGCACGCATGCAAAATATCATAGCGTAATAAAAAACATTTCTACATAACACGTCTAGATATGAATTTCATTTATATTTTCATAGAGTAAAAAAACTTTATTCCGCATTCGAAAATTAAATTTCCGTTAACGTGTTGTTGTTGTTATTATTATCATTATTAATTTCGTTTTTTTTTTTTTTTTTTTTTTACACGTCGACGAGATTTTATAAATATTAATTAACACTCGAAATATTATTTCACAAAAAAAAAAAAAAAAATGGAAAAAGGGAAAACGATTGATGATAAAAAGTTAAAAAAAATTAATTTTCCTCGTAGTCTGCTACAAAGTCGGCGTTGCCATTTAAATTTTTTTTTTTTTAAATAAACCGGAAACGAATTTTTTTTTTTACGTTTTTATAAAACCGGAAAAAGCGATGTTTGTTTCGCACGAAATGATATATACATATAAATACAAACGCTCTCGCAATTTTCATTTATGTTTTTTTTTTTTGTCGTGGCATTAGAAAACTTTTATTATTATTATTATTATATGTTATTTCACGGGAAAGAAAAAATGTATTTAAATTCATAATAACAACAACGTTTCATTCATTATTTTTTTTTTTAATTATCTTTTTCTTCTTCTCTTATTTAATATTATTATTATTATTATTATTATCATTATTATTAATTTCACGAATGGAAAAAATTACGCGGTGAAAAAATTATTATTATTATTATTATTATTATTTTTTTTTATTAAAACTTTTCGTTTAAAAAAAAAAATAAATACAGCAGGAGGAAGGGTTTGGGGGGTGGGTTTTGGGGATTAGGGGGTTCGGGGGGGGGAGTAAGAGGAAAAGCTAAACAAGGTTGAATTTTTTTTTTGATGTGTGATGATACCGGCGGGTGAAAAATTAATTAGGAAAAAAAAAATTCTTTTTTTTTTTTTTTTTAAATTTTTTTCCGGCCGCCGTCGGAAAAAATTTTCCGGACATTTTATCGCCGAAGGAAATTTAACGGAAAATTCTTATCTAGGTTATCGTCAAATGCTTGTTTAAAAACAACAACAACAAGGCGAGAACAAAAGGAAAACATAATTCTCACCGAGTTTTCACTTCTTCTATAATAATAATAATAATAATCGTATAACCGTTGGGAAAATCTTTCCCTCCCCCCTCCCCTATCCCCCCACCTCTCTCCCTCTTCGCAAAACGAATCGGAAAAATCGAAATTGTATTTCCGGTCAATTAAATAAATATTATTAAAGAAAAAAATAATTCCATATAATATTTAATATCTTTCAAAACTTTTTTTTTCCCTTTTTTCTTTTTTTCTTATTCGAGAATGAAAAGGTTAAAGGTCAAAATATTTTTCAATTAAATTCATTTTAACCCCACGATTCGATCGAAAACAATCAAAATAATAATAATAATAATAATAAAAAAGTTTCAATGAGATTCGTTCATAATAATAATAATAATAATAATAATAATAATAATAATAAATTTTAAATGTTGCTCGATGATAATAATAATGATAATGATGATGATGATGATGATTTGGATTTTCCAGGTATTGACAAAGGACAGCGTGACAGTATCAGTGGATGCAGTTGTTTACTACAGAGTATGCAACGCGACCATATCCGTTGCCAACGTTGAAAACGCGCATCATTCGACGCGTCTTTTAGCGCAGACGACGCTTCGTAACACGATGGGAACAAGATTGTTAAGCGAAATATTAAGCGAAAGGGAAAACATATCACAAGTCATGCAATCCGCGTTGGACGATGCAACCGTCGCTTGGGGCATCAAAGTCGAAAGAGTCGAAATGTGAGTCAGATTAAATAATAATAATAATTTTTCACGTGTCAAACACGTGTGTCAAAACGTTTTGTTTTAGAAAAGACGTACGATTACCGATACAATTACAAAGAGCCATGGCAGCCGAAGCGGAAGCATCGAGAGAAGCTCGTGCCAAAGTTATAGCAGCAGAAGGTGAACAAAAAGCATCGAGAGCATTAAGAGAAGCATCTGAAGTTATTGGCGATTCTCCAGCAGCTCTCCAGCTCAGGTATTTACAGGTAATAATAATAATAATAATAATAATTTTTAATAACTCACCCATTGGAATTTCTTCCTTTTCATTTTTTTTCTTTTTCCTGTTTTTCAGACGCTGAACACGATATCCGCTGAAAAAAATTCAACGATTGTATTTCCGCTACCGATCGATATATTAACATATTTTATGAAAGCAACACAAGCACATCAACAAACGATGACGCAATAAATTCTTTCAAAACCGGAAATACAAAAAAAAAAAAAACCGTTGAGAGAATTCATTCTTATGTATGATGTGTTATATGGAAAACGATTTTGAATTCCTTGATTTGTTTTCGAAGGGCAGGGGAAGGGGAGGGGGAGGAGAAGGAGGGGAAGTAATATAATTATTAATTTGATTTGATGAAATGAAAGAATAATATTGATAAAAAATCACTCAACTTTTCTTAATTCAAAATTTATATGTACATGAATATAAATCAAGATGGCGGTCTGTCGATGAATGTGTGTTTTTGATGTTGTTTCAATTAATTAATAAAAATTTTTACACGAGCACTCAAATATGTGTTATACTCTAGTCATAATTATTATTATATTATATTATATTATGTAATTGTAACCTTCATTTTTATCACACAATAAATCACAATAATATAATAATAATAATGTCAATGAAAATTTTTTTTTGTTTTAAATTCTTTATAAAACTATTCGTTTTTTTCCCTTTCCCTTTCCCCCCCTTTCCCTCTTCCATTCATCTTTTTTTCTTTAATAATAATAAATGAAAAAAGTAAAATTTGAGTTTTTTTTCTTTTTTTTAAACACACATAAAACTAATATTTCCTTACCTCGCTATGAAAGTAATTAACACCGAACGAAAAAAAAAAAAAAAGAAAACTTTCAAAAACTGTTAATAATAATATAAATCAAACGGATTCACAACTAAAAAAAAAATACTTTTCTATTTTAGTAAACTCTAACAACAAATAATAACAAAAACTCTTCATTAAAATACTTTTTAGTTTGTTAAAAACAATTTTCCGACATTAAACTTTTTAATAAATTAGTTTAATTAAAAAAAAAATAATAATAACAGCACGAATTTTTTTTTTGTGTTATAACTACGCGTTTACACGTTCTACTTTTGTCGAGACTTTATCGAAATGAACCGTTCTTTCTTTTGACGACAATTTTTATTGGCTCGCGTCGGTTAACAAAAATTTTTTTCCATTAAATTCACAACAATTTTCAAACAATATTCACAACGTATTGACTAAACGTAAATTAAAAAAATTTTTTTTCCTCTTAAATTCACAACAATTTTTAAACAATATTCACAACGTATAAACTAAATATAAATTCAAATTTTTTTTTTTTTGTTTAAACCTCGAACACGTTTTTCCATTTCCTTCTCATTGTTTTCTAAAAAAAGGTTTTCTTCTTGTATTATTATTATTATTCGGTTTAAATATTTAAAACAAGAGGGGGAGGGGGGGGGTAAAAGAAGGAAATTGAAAAATTATATTAAAGCGGGGATAAAGAAGATTATAATAATTTTAATAAATACATTATATAAAATCCCAACCTTTTTTTCTTTTTTTATTAGAGTACAAAATGATTTTTTAAATAAAACTCATTAAAATTTTCATAACAAAACCAAATTTTAATTAAATAATAATAATACCATAATGATAATCATGCTCTGTTTAATAAATTCGTACAGGGTTGTTGAATGTAATTTAAACAAAATCCATGATTTGATGCGTCATCCGGATATTCTGCACCATCTGTGTGATATATTAATCTGAAAGGCTTAACTGTGCTTAGTAAAGTTGCTGGAGTGAGAGAAACTTCGCTGTTGAATGTTCCACCGCAAATTCTATCCACGCATGGATACGGACCATCTCTTATAGTACCCACATTCGATGCACAGGGTATGATGAGCCAATCCGAATCGCAAGGTTGAGGACCATCGCTACCTATGATGGCAGCAACTTGATTTTGACTCAACGTGTTACCGCTCAAAGTGAACGCGCTGCTAAAATTATTCACTGAAAACAAAAAACGTTATTAACAACGAACTCCATATTTATTACTATTATCATTATCATCACCATCATTACCCGGATCGACGCATGGCGAATAATGTATCCCGCAAAAATTTCTCTCCGATCTTATGCATATGCTGTAATCCTGATTTGACAATTGTAAACCCGCTCCCGGATCGTAATTGTACGATTTGATTTGTCCAGAAACTCCAGTGAAATATTGCAAACAACCATCTTCGGCTGAAATTTTTTTTTATAAATTAATAAAATAAATTTTTTTCTTTTTTTTTTTGGAAAAAAACGTTTATTTTTGTGTCGTCTGTTCTTCGCGTAAAAGCGCCAAAAAACGGTTCGCAGCGCCATACACGCGAACTAAAATGTTTTATTTAGTTCGTTTAAAATACGGATAGATGTCGTATACCTACCCTTAATGACGGAATCGCAAGGGATTTGACATATTTTTACTTTCCAAGTTCTGTCAAAAGATGGCCCACTCGTGACAAACGTTAATGTGACAGGATTTGTTATACCACTTCCGGCATCGATATACACTGAAAATTAGGTTTTTTTTTTTTTTTAAGGTACAAATAAAATCGGGTAATTTAAAGGTGGTTGGTTTTATATAACTCACTGTGATTTCCGTTATTCATTCCGCAAATCCCCGGTACCGTGTTACCACCGGAAACGATAAACTGATCATTATTACAAATGTTATTTATAGGTTCCGGTCCAGCTATGTTAAACTGATCGAAATCGAGACGAAATTGACAAATGTTCGGATGAGATTTATGAACGGTCAACTGACAAGAACCTGTACCGTCGTAAGATTGTGGAAAATTCGGACTTACAAAATAAGAACAATTTTCTTTCGTGTCTTGTCCGCAAGTTGCCAAAACTATTTTTTAAAAAAGAAAAATCTTTTAGAGCGAAATAAAAGTTTCAAAACTTTGCCTGTATTGACAAACTTACAAACGCAACAAATTCCGAAACCTCTTGCGCAGGGTCCACTCGATACTCCACCACGTTCTTCGCATTCAGCCGATGTTAAACAGGTACCATTATCACCGGAAGATGCTCCACAACCTTGATTTTGAAATTCTACGACGGTAAAAAGTGAAAGAACTAAAAAAAAAAGAAGTTAAAATCGTTTGTTTTCCTTACGAAGGCAGCCATTTTGATTTTGAAATAAAACCAACTCACATCTTCCGTTTCTTTTCGTATATCGATTTCCGGTATTATCCGTCGCTGTCGTTTTACATTGCGTATTACGATAACGATTTTTTCTAACGTTTTCTGGAATATTTTCAAATTGTCTTAATTTCGTTCCCGAAATCTGAAAGAGTAACGGTTTTTATGTGACGTCACAAAACATACGAGAATGACGACAAAAAAAAAATTAAATTTTTGTTACCTGTTTTCGTCTAATTATTTTATTTTTTAATCTTACGTTACGAAACGTCGTCTCTTTCTCTTCTTCTTCTTCCCCCGACGCACGGCAAAACAACCCTACAAACAACAAACAACAAACGACGAAGAGAAAAAAATAATGATAATTTTTATTTTTCATACCTCTAACTCGAATAACATTAAAAAAAAAACTGAAAATTTTTGTGAAAGTAAATGAGATTTTATTATGTGTGCGATGCGAAACAAACAAACAAACAAACAAACAAACGTTATTATCATCATCATCATTATTTTTTTCTTTTTATTTACGCATCGTGAAAATTACAATCCGAAAATTAATTATGAAAAAAACCCAGAAAAAAAATAATTAAATTATTTTTCCACGGAAAACTTAACAACGAATTAATACCGACATTGTTTTTTTTTACCCGAACCCGATAAAAAATTATGGTTTAATTACTCTATGACTCGAAAAATTTTTTTTACTCTATGAAATCTTAGGATTATTTGTCGCTTTTGCAATTTTTTTTTTATTTATTTTTTTTTCAAAGGCGATGGGAAGTAGATTGTAATTTGTTTAAAAACGAAGCAGGATAAATAAAAACAACAAACAACAAACAAAAGGAGGAAAATCAATGTAATAATAATAATAATAATAATAATAAGAAGAAGAAGAAGAAGAAAAGTTTTATTTAAAACGAAGAAAACAAAAAATTTTCATTATTTCATTATAAATTGACATTCGTAAAATTTCAAAATAACTCGAGATAACAAACAAACCACCAAACAAACAAACAAGCAAGCAAACAAACGAAAGAACGAAAGAAATAAGAAAGAAAACTTTTAAAGTCGTTGAAATTCGATAACAAACAATTTTCTTGTAGAACAAAAAAAAAAAAAAAAAAAAAAAAAATTATGTCGAGTCATCATATAACGAACCTAAATAAAAAAAAAAAAATATAATAAAGAAGTCAAATGGCGATTGAAATTTTTTTTTTTTTGACAATGAAGGGACCGACCGATAGACCGAACAGCCGACCGAACAACCGAACAAACAACCGACCGGTAGCTCAAAATGTCTAATTAAATTTCATATAATTAGAATGATTATCATGTAAGAATCAATTTTACAACGACAACAACAACAACCGTCCGACTCAGCAAATATTAAAATTATTATTATATAATTTTCTCATCG